AGTTTCCCTATGCACATAAGTGTTTTTCAGATGAGCCAGAATCTATAGTTCCAAATTGCAAGATGCAGTCCATATGATGTACCTAATACACCAACTTTTCTTTAAATTTGCGGATGGGATTTGGCCCGTGGAGGAAAATTAAAAAAGACGTCAATATCAGAATTATTGATTTTAATATCAGCAAATCAAACATTTTGACAAAAAAGTGACGTAGAGACAAACAGAATACGTGAGAGAGATATTTTGAGTTGGCAGGTAAACAAAGTAAATAAATGACGTTCACAATTTTCACTTAACTTTCAAGTTCTTGATCCTGAGACAGGATGATCGATATTGATATGAAAATTAAAACAAATTTCAAATGAAGCCGACCCTCAAAACTGAGAGACAAATGAGATGAATATTTGTGGTGTTTCATACTTGTAATTGGAGGAATTGGTGAGGAAAAGTCGTCGAAAAGCTAGTGGCATCTTTCACAACTACAACAGGACCACGAGATACACTTATCTCCACAACATGTCGAGGCTCCAGGAAGTCCGGCAGGGATGAAGTCCCTCTGCTGGCAGCTGCCATTCAAGGGATCCCTAGTACAGCAAACAGACTCATACATTTGGAAGCTACCAAAGAAGGCTAGAAGACCAATAAAAATGAAAAACAGTTTCATCTTGATGTTTTGTAACGAACGGCGGCGAGAGAGAATAAAGCTTCGATGGTCTTGAGGGTGATGACAACGCACAAAGCACTTCAAAGAAACTGAAAAATGATCGCGAAATGTGATTCTGTATTCTACTCACCTATAGGTACCACGAATTTAAAATCGAAAATCTGACCTTGAAATTATCATTAATCGTGAAATCATATATAGTGCACTGGCTATCTTAATAAGGTATACAGGCGTCAAAAGCCTTTTTGATTTATTTATTTCATTTTTCCTCGGCAGCTAATCTTTGCGCTTATCATATAAGTCACGGCCGGGTCAATAACTCCTAGTTTATTACTTGAAATGGCCGGTCCTAGCCCGCGCTTGGGCTTAATCTTGTAAAGGAAAGGTTAAAACTTCTAAATTTGATCGTGTGCCCGAGCAAAACTCTTATCTCTGTATTAGTGTGTAAAAAACTCGAGAAAAACGTCTAATTTACAAACAGAAAAGACACTTGAATGATGGTGAAACGAGTGATGAAACTTAGGAATTGTTCGCGTTTTTTTCTATACGTGAATAAAGTCTTAAAGTTACTCGTCAAGTCGGTTATTTATGACGTGACTACAATTTCTTTAATTTTTTCAAGGATTGCATTGATATTTGACAAAAATCCGAACCTGACATCCTTAGTTTATTTTTCCATGAAAATAAAAAATCGTTCTTCCGTCAAGAAAACGACGAGTTCTAGCAGCGCAGACTAGGATTTAGGAGGAAAATGTTGTAATGCGTGAAAATAACCAGAGCATTTTTCGGGAAATGGACAATTTTGCTATAAAAATCAGCGATAGTCCCCTTCATATTGGCGCGTAACACGAAGCCGATAGTAAGTAAAGGTGTAAGTGACGGCATCAGCCCTCAACGCCTCAAAGTATCACAGAACGCCCTTCGTTAGTACGGCTGCATAACGTTTGCGCACACTTTTCTTACCGATAACGTTTGCGCACGCTTTTCACGAATATCATTTGCGCACACTTTTTACCGATAACGTTTGCGCACACTGCACTATTTGGCAGCACAATTGTGAGCTGCAGATTCAAAATCAAGAATGAGAAGCTTAAAAGGTGACACGCGTAGCATTATTGCAGCGTTGCCAAATAGTGCAGTGTGCGCAAACGTTATCGGTAAAAAGTGTGCGCAAGTGATATTCGTGAAAAGTGTGCGCAAACGTTATCGGTAAAAAAAAATTGTGCGCAAACCTTATGCACCGGTTAGTACCGCATGCGACTTACATTAAATGATCTTCACTGTAACGCCTGGATGCAACTAAACGGGCACCATTAATGTTCGTGTTGCATACGCACGGGAGCGAAGGCGTTTTGTCTCTACAAGCACTGACACTCACCGTCTCACCCGCGGCTCACGCGGCAAGGCTCCAGAAGGATAGAGCACCTTCAACTGGACTGCATTTTGCAATTTAGATCTATAAATCGATGGTGAAAGTGCAGAAGTGCGTATCTCGATTTTTGACAGTTTTGAGTTAGCTGTATAAACGTGTAGTTGAATATGTCGTCTATCAGCCAGCAAGAGATTATAATCGAAAAAAATCGGGAAGTCACCTAAAACCGTAGAACTTTTTTCGCGTATCTCGCGCTTAAGTGCAGGAATCTCGTTCAGGCCTGTTCATTTTTCGGCGCGCCCTACGCACAACCAATCACAACGCGCGCTCCTCAGCAGCGTTTCCCGCCAACACCGCACATTAGCTGATCAGCTGCTCTGTGTTTGTTTTCAATGGTTTTAATTTATCTATCTAAAAGAAAAGTTGATGTGGATAAATGTGGATAATCAGGCAGTCCAGCATGCATAATATCAGTGAATGCTGGTGATAGGCCGATAGACGAGGGAAGGGGGGGATTAGGTACTGATACTTGTCATTAATGTTGCATACGTTTGTAATTGAAGGCAGATTATCACTCGAGGGCCCTCCAGTATCATTTCTTCATAGGTATCTACTACCTACTAGCAGCGCGCGGCGTTCATGTCCATTTTTACTCTCTGGGCCAATGCAATCATGAACTGATTGAACTGACGGTTCATCACAACGGTCAGTTTTATTAGAGTCAATCCGGTCAAACAATGCTTCATTCAGTGTATTGGATCGACTAAAGCTAAACAAGTTTTAAGGTTGAATAAATTCTATTTTTGATCTTAATGATCAAGAGTAGCTCCAAAACGCTAATTGCAGAAATGCGTAGCTCGTAATCTAATGTCAGTTTCTAATCATACAATGCTTGATCCGGCCGTATGAGGTCAAACTAAAGCTTCTGATGAAGAATTGTAAGCATGAAACCCTTTTCTCAGTTTTTAAGTTATCAAAATCCGCCAACAATAGGTTTAAAACACTAATTGCAGAAATGCGTATCCCGTGATAGAGTGTCAATTCTTCGTGCCGAAAACGCGAATCTCGGCATTTCGGCCGTATTTTCTGACAGCGCGAGAAATTATTCAAAATATTGATGAAGTCAGAAAAAGCATCTCATTCTTGCTATCCTCAAGAATTATTACCTTTTTACTGACAATAAGGAGGAATGTAGACAGTTTTTTTTTTTCTCTCCTGAAAAATCGTGTTTTCCGAGATACGCACTTCAGCACTTTCACCATCGAAATTCTGGCTCTTCTGAAAAAACACTTATGTGCATAGGGAAACTAATGACGCATACGTTGTTTTTAACCCGAGCTAGAATTTTTAGTTCCAAATTGCAAAATGTAGCCCAATTATTCATTTTTACCGCAATGGCAACTCTTGGGCACTCATAGTTGCACAAAGGCGTGAGGTGTCAGTATTTTTTATGCTCCAGTTTTGATATTGCTATGCGCTTAGCATGATTTTTTGAACGTGTATTTCTCCCTAAAAGAAATTTATTTCATTCTTTTAGTACAAATATAACCTGTCCATCACGAGCGCAGTTCGCGGAACTTCGGCAAGCTTGTTCCAGAGACTTATTAATAACATGTTTTGGCTAAAACTTGTTCCTCGAACTCCCAATTCTGGATACAATTCGCCTAAACAGTACTCGAGTGGATAAAGGCCGAAGAATTGAAGGCGATCTGTCCTTTCAGAATCTTCACAAAGCTGCCGGCTGCCCGCTGCCACCACAACGCGGGTGAAGCGGTGAGTAACTGAAGAGTGAAAACGCCTTCAATTCTGGGCGTATGCAACGCAGACATCCGCGGAGTCCGAATAGTTACATCATGTCCAGGCGTTATAAAATACATAGTGAAGTACTCGTTGCACTCTGCTACTAGACGGAATTATTGGCGAAAATTACATTTGGAATCATTCAAAACGATTCCATCCTCATCTGTCCAGTAGTGTCTGGTCTTCAATCACTATTAAAGAACTTGACAGGTCATTTATGCCCTTTTTCGTAAACGAGGGTGGGTGAAACTATTTTTTTTTGCGTGGCATCTTTCTTCATAAATACTACCTTCCGTATGAAAAGTGAAAACCGGGCGTCGTTCGTACGTAGGTAACATTTTGAGGTTTGTGCACTTTCAACCAAGAGCAAATTACATTAAGGCGTCTAGTTTTTTTTTTTATTTTTGGAAATCCTGATTTTCCCTGATTTTAGACTGTTAAATCTTGATGAAATCCTGAGTATTTGCGAAAAAAATTAAGCGAATGTAACTTCACAAGAATAAGCTCGATAAAAAAATCCGACCGGACGGCCGATTTTTCTCAAATCCTGATTTTACGACCGATTTTTCCTCGAATCCTGATTAAATCGGGATTGAATCATGGTTGACCTCAAATCCTGAGAAAATCGGGAAAATCCTGATGCTAGACACCTTGTACACAGTCTTTTAGGAGGAAAAAGTTGATTGTGTAAAGAATTCAAGGATTAAAGATGTGGAAATTATCGGGCAACTCCCCCTTCCTCCCTTCTGAATTTCGATCTATACCAATGGCGAGGCGTGAATGATCGATTATCGATGTTTCCTCATTTGAAGCTATGACGAAGAATCGATTATTAAGGTGTTCGCTGCGAACACCCTGTTCATCGATACTTTTTCATGGGTTTAAATGGCAGATCAATCGATATATCGCAAAGCACGCCGCGCCACTGATCTTTGCTTCCTGTGGGCGCAACCCGCGCCGCGCCGTTGACAAAAGATGAGGCCACACTGCGTCTATAGGACGCGGAGAATAATGCTGGGAGTCTTACCCCCCCCCCCTTCTCCGCCGCCTTTTTTTGCCGATAACGAGAAAAATGTAATCGAGTCGGACCCAATTAAAAATGACGTCAGCTCGTGCTGAGGGTGGTTCTATGGTTTCTGCCGGGGTCCAATATAAGAACGAATCCTTGAAAATATTCTTTCAATTGTCTGAGTCGCAAGTTCGGGGCGTCCAGAGCATCCAGGAAGCCTGTTATCACGCGTTTGGTAAGTATAGTGTATTTTTTTGTAATGGAGATGTTGCATGTGTGAGGAATTTGCGATTTGACTTCTGATTCTTATGTAAAAGTTTGCGAGAAACACGATGATCTCACTGCTTTTCTCTGGTTTCAACTCCCAAGCTAAAAAATCGCTCTTAAAGTTGAGGCTATAATGGAGGGGATATCCCACGCTATCCTGAGAGTCCACCTCTACATCCAAGACAAACTCTCCTTGCAAAGATAGGAAGCAAACATACATTAGCAGGGTTGCCATGTTTTCAGTTTTATAGTCCCCAAATAAAGTGGCAGCCCTGTCAATGTATTTGTTCCCTATAATTGCATGGAGAGTTTGTCTTGATGTAGAGGTGGACTCTCAGGATAGCGGGGGATATCCCCTCCATTACGCCCTCAACTTTGAGAATTTTTTTTGAGCTCAGGTAGTTGATTTCAGGCAAAACCAGTGACACCATTGTGTTTCTCGCGAACTTTTACATGAGGATCCATAGTCGAATCGCAAATTCCTCACACGTGCAACATCTCCATTAGTCTACTTCATTTATTTTGTCCTATGACAATGATTCAAAGACCGAGTCTAGATTGAATGAGAACCTTCTCTAACAGGTATTTAGGAGATAGGTGGGAATAGATATTTTTAAGGGCCCCAATACTCAACCCTTGAACTAATATTGGCTCCATATTGGCAGTTTGATGACCGTTTCTCGCAACTCGTTCGTCAAAGAAGAAATAAATCGGTATACAAGTTGCGAAATATGTTGCTGGGCTATTACCCTGGAGGTAATAAGATGAGTGTCCCGCCTGGGGGTATGATTTTTTCATTGCTGGGATACGAAAGTCTTCCTTTCACTCTCCGTGAGTTATTGATTGCACAGTTGAGTTGTTATGACTGCAAGGCCATATAAGTACAAGTCGAATCTTCACGGAGGTAGGTACCTATCATATTCGCAGTAAGACGGAATGTGACGTCATTCGCCGTATCGTTACAAACCTTGGTATCTTTCACCGGGGCTTTAACACAATGTCGGAAAATCCACGCTCAGTAGTGGAGAGTGGTGAGGGAATGGGGTTGGGGAACACTCTAAATATCCGTTCGACCAACAAACAATAACTGAAACTACTGCTTGTAAAAAGACATCGTTTCCAGACCTGCAGAGCAAAAACTAACTGAATTTGAAAGAATTTTCTCATGAATTTTACTTAAAACTTAAATTTTTGGAACCTCGTGATAAAATTCACTCGACATTATTTGTATCCAAATTTCCTCGCAAGGTTGAATGATTTTTTTACAACCCAAGTAGCACAGATAACAATAAATTGCGATTACACGATAATATGATTGTGCTGCGTCGGAGGGTCGCGTATAATGTTACCTATCTAATAATTGAAGGGGTTAGGTACTCTTGCTGGAATCTATTACCATCACGTTGAAATAGGTTGCAATATTTCTTTGCATTCCAACTTGACTATATTTTTAATATACAAGAGCGCATTTCACCAATTGCTTATAATCAGCGTTGTTGAGAGAATGTATAATATATAAAAATATTGCAATCTTAATGTAAAAAGGGAGCTTTATTTTAAAAAATTGCAATCTCAGTTTAATATTTTCGCTGCGCCCTGTCCTATCTGGGATACTTAAATTTTTACTGAACTTTTATGTGGATTAAAAGTTAATTACCAGAAAGAAACACGCAAAAAACGGATAAAATTGAAAATGTATACACATATTTTTATCAAAACATACCTTGACAGCTATTTTTTACGCGTGAAAATAATTGCAGAGTAGTCCCTTGGACCTTGTGCATATAGTTTAACTTACAATTGCATAAGAACGTTTGATTTTTAAAAACTACCCTGGTAAAAATTTGCGATAGGAGCTGCGTTTCAAAATACCATAGGAATTCTTATAGTCGGCTAAAGAAGGCAATAGAAAATCACATAGCTGGCTGTAGAAAGCGGAGCAAATCATATAGCCGGGCTATACGAAGCTATAAAAAAGTATACAGTCGGGCTATAGTTCCTATCGCCGGGCTTTACACTTCGTCGCCATTGGCTATAAAAGGCTATAAGAAATTGTGTAGAAATTCGTGTGCTTTGGAAATCATTAAGTTTGATACGGAACCATCGCAATATTTACAAAACACACATTATATTTTCCTTTAATACATATTTTTTTTCATCAATTAAATTGAGAATAATTCATACAGGATGTGCAAACATTTCAAAATCATGAGTTGAAAAACGCTGACTCCGCAAGATTATATATTGGAGCCTAACACAGAGCGGAACGGCGTGCTGCCAGCGATGAGCGCGCACCAGCGCCTACAAACCTAACAGGGATACTTCACGCATTGCGCAATGCCTGAAGTATCCCTGTTAGGTTTGTAGGCGCTAATGCGCTTTTCGCGCTGGCTGCCCGCCCGCCACGCCGCAGCGTGTCACGGCGCTCGAAGCAACTATTTTACACCAGAGGTATTGCACAGTATCACACGAAATTGAAGGCGCTCTAACATATTAGGAACGGCAGGCATCCCTCAAAAGTACTGGGTTTTTCGCGCAAAATAAATCAAGATACGACGGCCCAGAAATAGAGCGGTAGTCCAAAAACTCACTAAGTCCTAGCATCCGTAATTAGTAACATTTAGCATACACTTAATCGCCTGGCTGTTGCTTAGTCGCCATTGGCTGTAAAAGGCTATAAGAAATTGTGCAGCCGGCTATAGAAGCTAATGAAAATCTTAAAGCCGGCTTTCGGTCTATGGTATTTTGGAACACAGATTCTACTGCCAATTTTTACCAGGGTACGTGAAATCCTGTGTTCCAAGGATGGTTTGAGTGGCTTTTTTTCTTTTTTGCCCCGCAAAACAAAACGAAAACTGTATATAGTGCAATAACCAGTGACAACTGTCCCTTACGTGTTCTTTGCTGACATTAGAGCTTCGCCCTGAACCGATTCCCTTACTTAATTGATGTGAAATTCAACAGATGATTTTCCTCGTATTTAAATTTCCATGTGCTCTATACTCATCTCAATTGAGAATAGGTGATGCTCCATAAAAGCTTGCCTCTAAAAGCGATGTTCTAATGATGAATTTTGAATATCGATGGCCAAAGTGCAAAACCACGTATCTCCATTGCGGTGTTCCAAAATTTCCGCCCCTCTTTTATTATTTCGGTGAGAAACAAGTCAACTTAGTTGCTTGTGAGTCAAAAACAGAATTGGGCTGACGAAGAAAAATCAAGGAAGTTTCCAAAAAATTACGTTTACAATACTGCCGTGCTGAGGAAGAATCGTCGTATGAACATTCGAGAGTTGCCAAATTGCCCTCGATAAAACATGCATTTTTGAGAAAGATTATTCGTATTAATCTTTGAAATTTTCAGACATTTTAGAGAAAATTGTGGACAAAGTTGTGTAAAAATTTTTGAAAAAAATATTCACAATTAACTCAGTAAATTTTGTTTTTATCGAAGGAAACTTGGCAACGTCCGAAGGCTCATGCTCAAACGGCGTTCTTCCTTAGCACGGCAGTATAGTTTTCCACAAGAAAAAAAGAAATTTATAATAAGTCGGTCTGCAACTTCGCAAACGGAGGTACGTGATTTCGTGATTTGGCCATCCTATATTAATTTATTGTTTCTTTGTAAAAGGTGAGTCGCAGCTAAAGCAGGTCTGAGAATCCGTGTCGTGCACGTTTGCGTGGAAAGAAAACACATTCATTAGCTGTTCAGTTATGACTTGTCGCACAATTCTGGTGTTACTCACAAATGCAATCCTCCTGTCCGCTCTGTGCTACGCCCAGGTCAACTTCTCGCCCACGTGGGGCAAGAGAACCGTCACGCAAGAAGAATGCACCTCCAAGCCTTCCATGGAACTTCTCATGTATTTATACAAGATGATCGAGGTACGGTCCCGGAGCGAACCATTTTTATCTTGTCTTGCAGAACTTTTACAAGAAGCTCCACAGCAACAAATTACAGTGAAATAAATGCAATACCTATTCATAAATTAGGTATAATTTTTTTTTTTTTTTTTTTTTTTTTTTTTTTTTTTTTTTTTTTTTTTTTTTAAGGAATTTTATTTAAATGTAACGCAACTACTACAAGTATTTCCTTGTATCTATCTCCATGGTTTAAAACTAAAATTAAACGAATTGAATTTTTACAGGGTAACGTTAGATAATACCTACGACGATGATTGGGTATAAATACAGTCAAAAACCATTAATTACCATTTATTACCATTTATTAACCATTTATTAACCATTATAAGTACATTCCTAACCTCTCTTCCTCTTGTACAGTCGAAAATATATTTCCAAAACAACAATTTCATGACGATAAAATGCTATATCTCTCCCCCTCCCCCAGTTTTTCAAAATCTCTGCTCCCAATTTACTTTATCCGAGGAGAGCAAATCAACGTCATTGCTTGAAATTTTCACAGAACCCAGTTAGAGGGAAAAAACCACGGAATTTTTCAAAAAATGACATTTAACCTTCTGATATTTAAAAAAAGAAGTATAAAGAAATTTTGAATTGTTACAAATCGAGCTACGCGTTCCTGCAGTTTCACCGTCGATGCGTGACGCAGCAGGGCAAAATGTGTCTGAGGGTGGGAAAAAAGAAAAACGAGACCACAGCCTAGAGGGATTGGTTCTGCATCATTTGGCGCTAAGGAAACCAAAATTTTCCAAAAATTGAACATTTGGCAGCAATTCAAAGTTTAAGAACGAAATCAGTTGTTGAGCGTTTGCGGATGTTGTTACCAGCGTGAGAAACAATTCACTCCAAAAAAATTATGGCTTGGAAATTTGACCTACTGTTCTTGAGAGCATTAGAAAGTGATAAGCGCGAAAAATAAAAATTGATACTTTTTACCCTAAACTGGCTCTTTTGCTGTACCGAACACCCTTTTAAGCTCTCACCTTGACGCACATTGTGTCTCGCAGCGTCACATGTTTCGATTAAATGGCGAAATTGGTGCTCGAAGTGTTGTGTATGTTGCCCACCTACGCATTGAAGGAGCTACTCCTGTTGCAAAAATTGATTGAGTTTAGATTGAATTACGAGGATAGTGCAGTTTTTCTTGGCATTACAATTATTTATCTTTATGATTCTAGAGAATTCTCATGTAATGAAGTAAATCAAAAATTAATTATTTTAAAGTATGTTTAAAATCTGCAATATTGATCAAAGTGCTTCAACTGAAAACATTTTTATATCTCAAAATTCGCATTGCAAAATGTGGATCGGGTCCTTATTGCAATATTCAAATTTTAAGTAAGAAATTGTTTCTATTTTTATAGCAAAAGATGTACACTTACAGTAAGTGAGGACTCCAGAGAAGAAAATATTAGTAGAATTAAATTCATGGAGCAGGTCTCATTACAAAAATGTGTCAGTGTAAAATATCATCCATAAATAACCTAATTATCACAAATAATTCTGAATTTCTGCCACATGAGTGGAAGAGGAAGGTGACTAAAAAATTAGATGTTTCATTTTTTTTTTCTTTTTTTTTTTTTCTTTTTTTTTCAACCGATGTTCAGATGAATGCCGAACTTATTTTCTCTAAAACTCTGCTTCTTGTTTTCAGAATGAGGCGCAAAAAATATCAGATTGTGAGAAGTTCAGAAGTTAACAATGTCACATGGACAAGCACCAATGATATGACGAGGCAATTGATTCAAAGGACGTTACGAAAAACTTCAAAGTTGGTCAACGTTATGTGCCGCTGAAGCATTGAAAAAAATGTATTACATGAGTCTAATTTTTTTTATGATTCCCATCGTGTAATATTTACTGTCTCTCAGAGCCCCCAAGTAAAAATCTATTCTGGGAAACACTCTGTAGCTATTCATTAACATGGAAGTAGCAAATGCTTTTAGTTCTGTATCATCATGTCAAGATAATAAATTTTTGACGCCTTCAAACTTCTTATTTCGATTTTAACAATTTCCGATTTTTTCATGTTATTATATTGCCAAAATATTGGGAATTTGGTTTTTGGTAAGAGAGAGGGGGCTGGATTGTATCTTATTGATATTGACCTACAGCGAATTACATTATTTATCTCCCATTTAATTACAGAAATATCAAAATCGACATCTAGTTAAAAAAAAAAAAAAAAAAAAAAAAAAAAAAAAAAAAAAAAANAAAAAAAAAAAAAAAAAAAAAAAAAAAAAAAAAAAAAAAAAAAAAAACCCAAACGAACAATATACAAAAGAATGCACACATTTTGAAAATTAATAACCTCCGGAGATTTTTAAGGAGAGCATCACTGAACATGTTGGTACGAGTTTTTCAAAGAATATCATTGAAAAGGCAAAATGAAGTTTTAAAAAAAGACGAATAAATTACACGAAATGTTGACAGAGACAACCATGATCATGCACCTGCTCTTATTTTATTATTTGAAAGACACAAAATCAACACAATTCCTTGAATATTGTACAGACTTTCCCTCGCACGAAAGGAAAAACATTCGCAGAGGTTTTGAAGAATTGACGTTAAGTAGTTTTCCGTGTAAAAAATGAAAAGTAATGTGAAGTCTGCAACCTCGAAAACCGAGATACGTGGTTTAAAAATGTCATCGTTGACATACTTAAGTATAAAGCTCACACATACACGATGGTGCTGAGGTCGTTGATGAAGGCGCCTGGATGCGACTCTTCGTGTTCCACGGACGTGCGTGTCGCATATTCGAAATATTGAAGGCGTTTTATACGACAACGCCAAGACTTCACTGTTCGTGTTTCTGGACGTTGATTTTCATGCCTGCAAAAACTAAAAACAAGTAAATTTATCGACTAATGATAGAAAATGCCACAATTATTTGCCATGACTGCCATACTGCTAAGTATAAGTGCTATCAATTGAGAGTTCATCATGGAATTGATCATTACGATGATTCTCACTTGTCAGTGCCTATTTTATAGCATCATTTTGGTCATGGCGGAATCTCAAGGAGTGGAAGAATGTTTCCATGATAAGTAGATTCCCGTTATGAACAGATCCATGTACACGTTGTGAGTCATCCTACTTTGAGCTTATGTTAGAAACCTTGAGTCAGGCCGGAGAAAATTCCGATAAGACCGCATTTCACAAAATCGCAAAGTTGGCATCACAGAAAAAACTATCCTTTAACTCGTTTCGTACTTTTCACGTCGTGAAATCAGGACTCAAGCACGAACCCGGACAGGACTGGCACCCATCCAAAATCTGCCTTTTAATGCCCCGATAGTGCCCTTTGACGTTTACCTCTCTGAGGTAGTATGAGTAAGCACCAGACCTTTTTTTCTGTGATGTCAAACAAGTTGCGTTGGCCAGTATTCTGTCGTGCTAAGGAAGAGCGCCGTATGAACATTCAAGAGTTGCCAAATTTCCCTTGATAAAACATGTATTTTTGACAACGTTCGTGCATATTTTTCCTTGAAAAATTTAGATATTTTAGCTTAAATTGCGTACAAAATTGTCTGAAATTTTTGGAAAATAATATTCAGAATTTTCCCAATAATTTTGGTTTTTATCGGAGGAAACTTGGCAACGTCTGAAGGCTCATACGGCGTTCTTCCTTAGCCTGACAGTACTACGCTTAGTTGTATGTGAAGGCTAATTTTCCGTCGATTTACTCCTTACTTCCCTGCCCTTTGATGTACTTACTCCAATGGTACGATGGTAGATGGAACGGTCGTCGTATGGAAAATCAGCATAGACGAGTTCTTGAGATTCTCCATGTTGCGAGCTCATCTGCGTGGTTCCATCGACCTACTCCGAGATTTTCTTCTTCTATGCGAAATCAGTGGGTCATCATTTATCAGGACTTAAAGCTCTCGAGAAAGTGAGCCCTGAAGGCAAGAGATGCAATGATTTTTGTGAAAAATTTCAAATTCGCGGACTTCATGGCAACGGGAAACTATTCAAGAAGTCAAACTTTGTCAGTGACTGTTCGCGCTAAGCACTAAAGCCAAACCCTCATCACAAGGGCAAATCTCATAAACAATAAAACAATAAACAGTTATTGGGTCGAAACTTAAAATGTTTGGCAACCTAGGGTTTCGGTTTTCAGGTTTAACCCGGTTTGCAGAGGTGCAGCACCTACCGAGTAACCTGGTAATCAAAAGGATAATAAGTTACAAAAATGTAAAATTTTTTATTAGATACTTGCTATTTCAAAAGTTGACGAGTGTTTTATTTTAAAAAAATGGATTATAACACATTTATCGACGAAAATTCCTGCTCTTACGTCATATGATTCTTTGTACTCGTCCCCCCCGCTGCGCTCTCTGGTACGGCGGAAATGGACATCGTTTCATTTCAAAAGTACCGCTCATGATCAATCCTCACCGTGGATTGGTCTTGATACCGCTTCCTCTCGCCTCGCTTAGCCAATCCTCGCACTTCTAGCTTTATTTAGGTCCCTTTGATTGGTCACCCCCGGAAGAAGGTAATGAGACGGCTCTTCTCACGAAAAGTGTACGGACTTCTGTTCCAGCTCGAGTGGACTAATTTTAATGAGATAATTTTGTCAGAAGAGCAGTTCTTAATTAATCTTATCGTTCTGAGATCGTCGTTCACCGTGGTCTCAATTTCTCGTCTGCTCTTACTCTAGTTGCTGTTTGCCTTTAAAACTGCCACTGTTCGTGCGAAATTTCTTGTTTCTTCTCCTCTCGTGGGTGTAAACATGAAAGTGCCCCAATTGTTTTCGTGAAAGTGAAAGCTTATGTGTCGTTTGATTTAATTTTAAGAATCTTCCGGGATCTCACAAATTTCAAGTCGTCGACGGGCGAGAAAAACGCAGAACAAGGCGCAATCCACCACCTTTAATTTTGGAGCATTTTGTAGAACTAGTCGCTGTTGCAGTGAGGTGAGCTTCTGCCAAGTATTTAACTCCCTTCACTTCACCCATGTAGATTGCTTTCTTTTTGTGTCGGAATACTTTTCGGCAATCCTCTAAGAACGTCACCGGTATCAGACTTCCTTAGCCCCTACAGCCTCAATGATAATGTTGTTAACCAGTGAACAGAATGCCTTCCCCGATGCCCTGCTCCGTCTACATGTCTGCTCTTTTGAAAAATTATGTATTGTCCTGAACAATAAATGATACCAAAATAAAGTAAAATCGTCTGCAATTTCGTGCTAACTTTGGCGGAAAACCGTCTTTAACTGACATTTAAAACTCAGGATATCTCATAATTGAAGGAAGCAGCCAACTTTGAGGTTAGATGAAATGCTTAAGGGCTTTTTTTTATTCGTGGAACGCAATGGTAGCGGTTTGGGTTGGTTCAACCGGTCTAACCGCAGCCTTATCCGGGCTCACCCCACCTTGGAAGAGCGGTCCAAGCGTTCCACTGAAACGCGCCAGTGGAACGGGATACAAAAGTCATGCGTTCCGCAGCGGTTAGGATAAAAACAAAGCCCTAAAGTAAGTGTCAGAACTGACTTCAGGTGAATGAAACTTGCTCACTTTTAAGTAGTTGACAATTTTTGCTGGCCTCTAGGAGCTACTCATTCTGTGCATGGCTTCTGCAACTCATAGTTTTTATCACAAGGGGTTGCGCGAAGCAGAAGCTGATGCTGATTCGATTGGCCTTTGCCAAGTATGTATCTCACAAACAAACGCTTAACAAAAATTTGAACGTTGCCAAATTTCTTTTCATACTAAATACATTGCAGAAACACTCCCTCAACTAATTTGCATCCTCTGAAGGGCACCAATAATTTTGGCTCCCTGGCAGAGCTCGTGCATCGTAGATTGAGACCAACGTCAAAGTATTGTTTTTGTCACCACTCATCAGTGGTGCCACTTGACTGCATGTATTAACCTGTTGAGTGGTGCTAATTCAGAGCTCGTCAGAAATTGACGTTTGTCTAAACATATGATGCGCAGTCTCCAAGTCATTAGTCCAGCAGCCTGATTGTTGAAACTTTAACTGGCTTTATCGCCACGATAAGACAAGACATAGCCCTATCTGCGCTGTGTAATATATCGATCTTCGATTCTTGTCGTGCCGACATAAATTTCAACAATCAGGCTGCAGGGGATACTCTATGCTTAGTCTCTTAGGAGCTCTTAGCATATCTCGGTATCATTTTATCAACCATTTGCAGTGTTAAATGGAATCAAACTTTCATGTTTTCCATTTCACAATCAATGAGTGATTTTTTTTTCTTTTTTGACTAGGTAAGTAGGTACTTTCATGTCCTAGTCGTTCGTAAAAAAAAAAAAGAATGAAAGAAAGAAAAAATCACATACTTGAGTAGGCATACAATTTCAAGATTACCCGTTGGTTAGCTTCCCTTTAAAAATGTATAAACGGCGCATAACTTCGCAACATCGCAACTGGAGAAAATCATTACTATTAGGCATTACTTTAACCATCAATTTTACCGAGTGACCTGAAATAGTTTCCTTACATGATCTGAATATTTCAATGAATTTTCCTCGACGTTTGAGGAAATTTATCGCAGATCAGATCAACATTTTTGAAGTAACATTTTTGATGTTTATGCACTACACTCAATCAAGGGGTCCCTTGATTTTTTCCCTTTATATTTTTGACCAATATTTTCATATTCTTCCTTTTTTTCGAATTAGTTTTAATACGACAACAATACTAGCTCCCGGAAACGGTGATCAAGTCTTTACTTGTTATTACTCAAATATGTAACAGTGTTGGAAAGTTGATGAAATTACTCCCTCATCTCTGTATGTACCTACATATGTATATTCCTCCTTTAAAAATGAATTTGACGATAGTCTGATTTGGTCTCGTCGCCTCTATTTTCAAATTGGCAAATGTAGGATGATGATGAATAATTAAGGAGGGTGAAACAGCCCCGAAATCTTGTCGTGGAATACTGTCAGATATTTTTTATTTGCTTTAAAGTAAGTTTCTTTTGCGCTAAATGAGGGCAAAGTGCTCTTTAAATTCCAAATTTTCAGCATTTTTACTCATTCAAAATATTATAACTGCTCACATTAAGTTTTTCCGAAAATTCGACGGGAAATTAGACCCTAACCATTGGCAGGAAATCGCGATCATTTTTGGATTCAACGGTAAAAAAGACCTAGGAATTTTTCGATGTAATGCATAAAAATTTTGCCCACTCTTTCGAATAGCTAAGCTCCTTGGCCAAACGATGTCGTTAAAAACGGGCCCCCGTTCTAAAATAACCCCCCCCCCCTCTATTTACCTACCATCATCATGTTAGCTAGGCCTGTGGTGACCTACATGGGCCTTTGCCAGGGGCGTCAAGCCTCAGGGAGTACTAATGGCTCCGCGCTGGCGGCCCTCAAACTTAAAATTTAAGCTTTCATAATCCGATCGAGTGTTCACACAATGTTACAGTTCCTTTGCTCCCGTGCTGGTTGTGTAATTGCAGGTGCAGGATTTTTTCATTTCTTTATTTCGG